GAATTGAGCACTGTTAAAAATGACTTTGCTAATTGGCACCATCTATATTTTGAACTGCYGTGAACTCACCTTTGTAGTCGTATTCCTAAGGGCAGAGCACTAGCCTTACTCAATTTTGAATTTTATAAGTCTAACCAAGTTTGATCTTTTGTGTTATGTGTGAAAATTGTGGCCGTCGTCCAAATGAACAGTGGAACCTGACAGCCTGGAGTCTGTGAAACACTGTGGCCTTCACGGAGAGGTACAGAGCGGAACTGGAAGCGTGTTGTGGATGGATCAATACCTCCTCATGTATCTCCGCTTTAAAAGAGAAATCCTCAAAGCTAACACCTCCCTCAACAGGGTGCCTGGCAGTGGGTGCTTGTGTTGCATTTCACGTTCTCGGGCTTTGTTGGCATTCTGCTTGCAAATGGGCAGAGGAAGTATGTATAGATGTGTACGTAAAGTAGTCAGAGTTCATGCAGTGTTTGGTGGCCTTTGARTGGCCATGTGTGTCATGGGGTTTGGCGTTGGGTTTGGGGGCTGGGTCTAGGTCGTAGCAGGAAGATTGGTGGCGAGGGTGTTCCCATGCAGACATCTCCTATAGGAAGCGTAACCTYGGCCTCAGCAGCATTGGCAGCAATATCACTTTTCCTATGACCTTAAATTAGGCTGCATTTTTTAGCAGGCAGGACAGAAGTGTAGAGTGGTAGGTGTGAGTGGCACAAAACTGGGAGCTAATGAGCAATGCTAAGGATTTGGTGAATGTTCAGCWGTGAAATTTAAAGTCAGCAGGATTTTTGTTGTTCAGTTCAGTTCAGTGCAAGTTGAATCCCTGCCCCCTGTAAAGTTGAGAAGTAAAGTCTTGCATGACTTTTAATTATATTTTGTGGAGGTCAAAAACAGTGATGGCAATAAGTGCACTTTGATTCACAAGAGTCTCCCATGACTGCAGGAATAGAGGGCACAGAGGAGGCGGGTGGGAGAGGGGAGGAGGGTTCAGTGGCTGCTCGTTCTGTCGCTCAAGATCTTCAGAAAGAGCTACAGAGCAGGGCTGCTGGCGTTCAATTTCTGTAGAGATTTTACTGCAGGGTTTGTCACAATCCTCTGTATGGACTTAGGAGTTCCTAAAATTGGATGATTAATTCTAGAAAATCAGCAGTAACAATAAAACTCGTTTCCTTCTCTTCTTGACTTCTCTTCTCCATCGTTCATCTTGGTASTACTTCTTTCGACTCCTCCTGTTCAGTAGATTTGGAGGAGGGGAGGTTCCTTTTCTAGGTGATGAATGTTCAGATAGGACATGCAGACCAGTTCTGGGATCAAAGATGTCTGTGGAAGGATGTTGATGTTAACTGGTCCTATTAAAGGAAGAAGAGGAGAATATCCTGCATTTTTGAAGTGGTCTTATGGCCTTCTCTAAATTTTACTTGTTTCAATAAATCCAAAACAAGTCCATTAATATAAAAGGAGATTGGTTTGAACAGAACAGTGCAAAATAAAGGAGACTTGAATTGTCAAACATGCTATTTAATTCTGCTTATTTCATTTTTCTTTTTGGTATAAATTACTGTATTTTTTGCTCATAGATAMAGTTGAACCTTATGAACGTTTTTTCCTAGATGTTTGTGTCATGGCGCTGTCTAACTCTTGTTTGTCTCACTTCTTTCCCTCTCTTGGAAAAGGTTTTCCTTGATAGTGTGTCAAGGCTTGTTGAAGTTCCTGACATTAACTACTATATTAAATATAAAATATTGCATCTTAAAGTTGTCTCACTAGTTTATATGACTGTTTTCTTTCRTCTGGGAATTTTACAGACATGTAGGGAAACTACATTTGGAAACCTGCTGCTACGTATTGGAAACTAGCTGAAGTATCATTCTTTGCATGTGCTTTCAAACTACATTTTGGCTAAAGACAAATGGAAGAATGGTGATTCTTCACAAGGGCTGATGAGCAACTATTTTGACTGAAGTCTATTTGATTAGGTTTATTAAATCATTTTGATCATGCAGGATGGTCTATTATCTGTGCAGAGCAGTCTCATTAAGATCCTCTTTAAAGACTGTCGACTGTTTTCTTTCATTGAAGCCAACGCTTTAGCCATAGACAACAGGCTATACTTCCCTGTCTCCATTTTGTAACAGCCAGCGAAATCTCTGTTAAAGCTCTGTGTGAAGAATGGTGAGTGGATGGACGTCAGACATTGCAGCCACGGTGCAGAGACACGATGGCACAGTTTCCTAGAAACTCTTTTTATACTCTATTGAGAAGGATTGAATATGGCTCCGTAATTTCCAGGTGAAACAATAGGGGAAATAAGATCAAAATTACTGTAAGTATTACTTGTAAGAGGGAAGACTTTTTCTCTCCCACGATATCCCAGAAGTTTAGGGGATGACTGAGGCAGGTTAGTGCGCATCCATCCATGCCCGCTCGGATACGTGCTGGGGGTGGATATGATTGGGAGCATGTGATTCAGAACAAAAACTGCTAATCCAAAGAARAAATAAGCTTTAGTGTTAAACACTTATGTGTCCTTTAAGATTCTTCTCCTGTTTTTCAGTTCATAATTCATGAACCTTGAAAGTCCTGTGGTAAAAACCAGAATTGATAGCACTGATAATGGCGTTCCTATGCATAATACGGTCTCTATGCATAAAGTATAAATCTTTTAAAGGGTTTATTTAGTAGTCTTTATTCCTCATCAAGAAAAGATGGAAACTTTGTTATCCACAACACGCTGTAAACTCCTAGGGCAGTTTAGTCGCAGATCAGATTGCAGTGCTCATTGACAGCCGCGGTGCTGCACAGGAAGGGCAGYGGGAAACTTGGGGGCCCTCTGTGATACCGTATCGCGGCGCAGGCCACGTCAGCGTGCGCCGTGGGAGATCCCCCGGCCGCAGTCCGAGAGCTGTGCCCTGCCGGGGCCGCCCGCACACCGGCAGCCCCCGCGCTCGCTGCCTGCCTCCTTCCCACTCGTYGTGCGGCCCTATCGCTCCGTGGGCCTGGAAAGGAAGCGCGGAGGAAGGTGATGCCGCGGCCGCCTCGCGGTGTTCCAGCGGGGCTGGAAAGTTTGAGAAACGGCCCGGGTGAGAAGAACAAGACCTCCCTGACAGGGTTCAATCCCAGTCTGGCCTGCTTCACTTCAGCTTCCTATTTAATCACAGCTGCTCCTTTTTTTTTTTTTTTTTTTTTTTTTAACTCATCTCCTTTGCACTCTTTGCGTCTTCCACTTTCACCTCTGTTTTGTTTTTTTGTTTGTTTTAATGGACTGCACAAGTGAGGCAAAGATGGAGCTGTCCCCTACTCTAGCCTTGCTAACTCCTGGAGGATTTGCTAAAGTAAAGGACAAGTAAATTGCAGGGTTTTACCCCTGCAATCTTTCTCCAAATTTTTTGTTGCGTGTTTTTGTAATATTTTCTCTTCTGTGGCGTCTTATCCTTTCTGTGATATGTGGGACCACATACAGGTCCAGTGCCTCTTTCAGTGGCATGGCACATGTGGCTTGTCATATCCCAGATTAAGAAATATGGTAATCTAACTGTTGTCTGCTTATGGGCACTGAAAAGCTATGTGAGCACAAGCATATCACACATATAGAGAAGAAATATGTATATGCGGAGACGTTCTATATTGCATGCTCTCCTAGTCTGTATAAGACATTATGCAACACAGTTATGTTGTAAAGTCATTAAAGCTGCTGGAGTTCTATATGTACRGCATGAATGTACAGCAAATGCCCGTTGTGGGCTGCACCCTGTCATTSTTCATAGATTTATGTGTGTCTTTAACATCAATATCATCAGCAGTCTCCACTGGCAGTCCTGCTGTTTTGTAGTCTCCTATTGCATCTCAAATGTCTTACTTCACTGCTTTATTCTCCTAGGGCTGTCTGAGAGACAGGAAAAGTGYCTTTAATTTGAGGTGAAATAGTGGGATTTTTTTTTCCTCTGGAAATGGAGAAAAAAAAAAAGTGTTCTTTAAAAAGAAGACCCAAGAAGTGTTTGTCCAGTTGTACACCTAAAAGTTTTTGGCTCTGATCGTGTCAAGGCATATCCATGTATTTTAAGCATGTGAGTGAAGGTGGCATTCTGTGTTTTTTATGGTCTTCCTACAGTAAATCAGTTGACCCTGGAACAGTCTCAGGTGTTAAAGGGTACCTACCGTTGGTTCATAAAGGCAGTGGAAAGATTGATTCTTTGGGTACCGATGATTTCTTAATTCTCACAGCATTGATTTGTGCACATCCCAAAGGGGTAAATTCTGCTGTATTTTTGATGGTGCATAGAAGTTTACAAGGGTAATGTGATTTACTATTTTTCAGTAATCCAGCCAATAGTGATAAGCACAGAAAAAAAAATTCATTTCAAAAAACAGGTACTAGCATGGATTTTGAATTGTTTGCTTGTTAGAGTTTATTAATTTGAGCTTGAGAATGTCTTAAAAAAATTCCTCACCTCTTAATGGTATACAGGTTATGAAAGAGATTTTTTTTGATCAATGTTTTGTTGTAGAAAAGTAAGGCATGACTTTTGAAAAACTTAACTGATCAAATAAGCAAGWTCTTTGCTGTCAGTAGAATGCTTATGGAAGGAATGTATGTAAAGGAGAAGTGAGCTTGACACACTGCCATACAGACCTATTTGTCTGTTGTCAGAGTCTGTTAAGCAAGCTTGTGATATTTGTTCTTCCTTCTCTATCTCCAAAATAGTTCAAATTCAATAATTGTGGTTAGTCTATTTCAGAAAGATGCCTCTAGACATTTTAACATGGAAGCTGGGAAGGGACTCAAGGGGCAGGAGTTCTCAACCAGCATTTGAAAGCAAGTTGTCTTAAATATACTACTGTTTAATCTAAAATTAATCAGTAAGTGTCTATAATATTTCAGGTCAGGTCTCCAGTTAAATCTGGAGAAATCCAAGTATATGATTGCTACTCAGTCAACTCTGATCCTTATTTTTTTTTTCTTTYCTTTCTCACTGTGTTTCTGACATTTTCCCGTATCTTACTCTTCCCAGGATGGATCGTACTTGGCTGAGTTCCTGCTGGAAAAAGGCTACGAGGTGAGTGACTCGGTGACTGGCTCTGGGCTGACGGAGTCACTTGGATGCCGCAGCTCCAGCTTCCTCTGCTTCTGTTCTCCTCTGTGTATGTTTTCCACTCAACCCTAGATAACAAATCAAAACTCTAGAGAAGAATGTGCAACACAGCCTGTAATCATGCCAGCTTATTGTACTATTTATCATCGAATGTCCACTGGTGGATTCCCTCTGCTCCTCAGGGTATAGCTGCTTTGCATGTTTCCCGCCAACTTAGATAAGCAACAACCTGTGTAAGCCAAAATTATAAAGAATTAGGGAATAATTTATGATGCAATGTATCTCATGAAGGGAAAGAAAAGGAAAAAAGAAAAAGAGATTCTTGCTAGCACTGAAGTCCCTTTTGTGTTCACAGTTGTCCCTCAGCAATAAAAATCTTGCATGTCAGGTTGAGGCTGAAAATTTAAAGAGAGTTTGTTTTCGAAGAAGCATTCTGATTCCTTTCTAAAAATTTAAACTTCAGGGAGTGTTACTTCCCACTCCTTCTCTTGGATTTATTCTTCCTGTGCATATCAGTGTTGTTTAACTTTTTCTTAAAATAAGGGAATGGACTCCTTATTTCTTGCTGCGTTACTCTKCTAAGCAGAATTGTCCTCTTTTTTTTTGTAGAGGAAGCAGAGTCTTGGCCATTCAATGATGCTATTACTACAGTATGATTTGATGGTTTCCAGTCATTTTGGGTGGATATTTATATGTATGATCACAGTAGAAAGGAGGAGGAAAGGGATGATCAGATAATTCACAATGTAGTATTTCATGGTTTTTGATAAAAAACAGTACCCTCGTGGGCTTTTCTGTCTCTATTTTAACTGCTGCCTATCTAACTAGGAAATACTTATTTTTCATCCCTTTACATGTGAGTGATCTTGCCTTCTTATTGCATTGATTTTGCTGCTTTGCCGATTGATTTGCTTGTTGGTGTGGGTTTTAGGTGKTGTAAATTCCCTTTTTATCCATTGCATTTGGGGGAAAAAGGTATTATTTTCATTGCTCAGCTACTTTGCAGGTAAAACCAGACAGTCCTCCCTAGTCCACAATGAAATTGGAAAGTGCTAACTGAAATTAAAATGAAATACGATTCTCTCTACAGTAGAAAGATCACAATAATTAATTGGGCAGGGTTTTTCTTTCCTTTCTTTTTTCTCAATTCTCCATATCCTTGTTGGAATTCCTCCCTATTGATTTAGAGATCTCTGTTCCTCATTAGCTGAACAACAGAGCAAATATGGTAATCTGTGTGTAGTAATGTAAAGAATTTACAAATGAAGCATGTATGTTATCAATTATTTGTAACAAGAAAAAAAAAGATTGAAAACTCTTAATTGGACTACGACCTACAGTGTAAACCTTGTTTTCAGTTACAAACTGTATGTTTGCATGATGCAGCTTTATATATCCTATAATTATATCCTATAAATAACAACATTATGACTACACAAAAATGAAGCTATTTGATTGAATCCTAGTGAGGGTGGAGAAAAGGGCTAAGAATGCCATTTTTTCTTGAAATCAGCTCATCCTATTGTAACCATAGCATACAGTCTTTAGAATATATGCATTACTAAGTTAGCCCCTAGATTCCAAGCGCTGCAACATATACAGTATGTGATCTGTCACGTGGACCTACTTCAGTGAAACTTCTGTATATGTAGCTGTGTCTCTGCCAAAGTACCAAGCTAAGTGCTATAGCCTAAATTCTCACCCCRTGAGATGCCGGAATACATTTGAGGCAATTTATCTTCCCAGGCTCAGATGCAAGGCACGTTTATGCAGTGTGTTTCTTCTAGGGTAAGATGTCTCCCTGTGGTTTCTCTTGGCTTTGGAAGAAAGTAATGTATCATGCCTTCAGGCTCGTCAGCCTGAAGAAGAGATGGCTGAGAAGGTATCTAATCAGTGTCACTGAGGTGACTAATTGAGTTGTCCCACACACTTGAGGTGTCTAATCACCTCARGGAGGATGCAGCCAACCTCTTTTCAGTGGTGGCCACTGATACGACTTGAGAGAACGGCCACAAACTGAAGCACCAAAAGTTCCACAGGAAGTTAAGGAAAAAATTCTTAACAGTGAGGGTGCCAGAGCCCTGGCACAGGCTGCCCAGGGAGGCTGTGGAGTCTCCTTCTCTGGAGGGCTTCCAAACCCACCTGGATGCCGCCCTGTGCCCCGTGCTCTGGGTGACCCTGCTGGAGCAGGGRGTTGGACTAGATGACCTCTGAGGTCCCTTCCAACGTCAAGAATTCTATTCCATGATTCTGTGCCTATTAAGAAAGGCATAGCAGAGATGCAGGACTTCGCAGTGAGACAGTTAGTTATCTTGTAGATGCCCTTGCATTTCAAAATACAGCAAGTGAAGAGAGAAGGTTTTGGTCCAARTCTTTGGCAGATGCAGATGCATTTTTTTTATCTGATAAATTTCAATTCGTTTCCAGTAAAACAGATGACAAATTTCTGTCTGGAAAGTTTGTAAACCAGCATTTGTTTATTTCTTTGCTGTTTATGAGTGTCTTTCAAATGACCAGAAAATCACTTAAAACTCTTTTATTCTTAATTTAGTCTATCTAAAGAAAGATCAAGCCTTATTAAAAAAAAATCTACTGATCTTGCATTCTTACCTAGATTAACCAGTTTGAACACATTTTGGCTTGTCACAAAGTTTGCATTTCACCTGTCGCATGCAGACAAAAGCATYTTTCACCGGTTCTTATAGTAATGTCATTGTTGTGGGTTAAGCATTTGGCAGGTTTTCTTTCTCTTGTATGTGCATGCCAGAAAAAAATGAGTGTGTGTGGGAGGGGAATAAAAGGCGGATTTGAGTGTGTTTTCTTGTTATCACTGGATGCAAGAAGTTCTCTGTATTCGTTTGTTTGCTGACAAGGTTTGAAGCCCTGGGATGATTGCATTTGACATGTCTCTTTGGTCTCTTTGGTCAAATTAGTATYACAGCCATTCAGCCGACACAAAGCTCCAGCAAGAGCAATCTTTCATCAAGCTTTGAGCTGGCAGGATTTGGCTTATTGGCCAATGGTTTGTGTGAACTTGAATTTCAGCGTGACTTAATTCTGAGTTAGATAATGGAGAGCTCAAGAAGTCCCTCGTCAGGAATTTAAGCCAAACATTTAGTTTTGCTAGAAGAGTTGTAGAGCAGTTCAGTTAACTTTCTTTCAGTTAGTTTGTTACTTTAAAATGGCAAAGYCTAGTTTTGCTCAAGAAAACAGATATTCTGGTAATTAAAGCAATTCCAACATCTTGTGCAAAACCAAAGTTATTACGGAATTGTTCTTGGAAAACATTTGCCTATAACCTTTCTCCATGTAATTATCCTTAAATTATCCACATATCATATAAATAATTATTTTGATGGGGATTCTTACTAGGCAACTTTTAAGTAGAACTTCATAAATATATTGCTTAATGGAAGGAATTTATTTTTGGATCCATGTTTCTAAGGGTTACCTGTTGAGCCTCAAAATGCAGTATATTATTCAGTTGGAAAAAGTTTAACACCTGGATTCTAGAACAAGTTATATTGTGTGAGCATACTGGGTAGCAGGGTGGTAAAGAGATTCTATGTAAGGAGAGAGATATCACGGATTTGACAGACACAACTTAAAAGTGAGAATAGCTGCACAACAGCTACAGAGCTTGCCGCCAAAAGGTCACTGATAACRTAGTAAACCGGTCTAGCTTTGAGGTTTTGCATCCTTTTTTATTCAGTTAAATTTCAGATTTTAAATGGAGTAATGTGTTTTCAGCTTGTCTAGTATGTTACACATGYGCTTTTAATAGACATGTACTTTTAAAAAATTCTATTCATGCTGGTAGTTTGCTTGAAGATTCATGTTAATGCGAAGTGAGAGGCTAGAGTGGTGGCCAGTCTAAGTGAGTACAGGATGCACCATGTAGTAAGGGGTCTCTTTCCAAAATAAAGGGCAGGGAGAAGTTGAAGGTAGAGGTCAGGTGTTAAAGTTTGATTGCATTTGTGTAAGCACAATTTCTGCAGCTGGTGACCTAGACTACCATAAATTTTGGCAGCAGGTTTGAGGCTATCTTGCATAAGGAGGAAATGGGTTCAGTGTTCAATTTCTGTAATGCATTGGACACAAACAGGCTTTTCTTTATTGTTAGACAGAGCTGTTATTTTTTTTCACTTATTTGTCATGGCTGGTTAAAGGAAATTCCCGACCTGAATTTCAGCCTTAAACTTGCTTGTGTGTCTCATAAACCATCTCAGAAAACTGACTCATGAGGTTCAAAAAATAGCTCTGACTGTTCTTCCTGATGTGTTGGAAGAACAGAGAGCTAATAACAGCTGTTTTTAAAAATATATCTGGGCCTCGATGCTGCTTTCTTTCTCCTTGACTTTCTTTTATTTTACCTGTTCTCCTGTTGTTTCCACAATCACATCTCCCACTGATATATTCTTTTTCTGTGCTCATCTCTTTTTGGCTCCATAAAGTCCCATTATAGCCAGCCAGAAGTGGTGGCTTTGGGCTCCCCTTTTCCCTCACAAGGAGATGGTGCTCTAGAGCAATTCAGAGCTCTAGAGATGCTCAGGCTGCATGTGGTGAGTCAACCTGGGAGAAGATGGAAGAGGACAAGGATCCTGAAATAGGCACAGCAAAGCCAGAGCTCATCTTGCAGCGTTACGTGAGGACTTTGACAACTGTCTGTCTTTAGCCTAGGAATGGAGACAAACTTGATAGTAGGCCAATGTGTTTGAAAGATGATGAACGTTCCCCCTTTTCTTTTATGCTTACCATTTCCTTTGATCTTTTCCATGTTGAATCCACAGGTGCATGGAATTGTTCGTCGATCTAGTTCTTTTAACACAGGCCGGATTGAACACCTCTATAAGAACCCGCAGGCTCACACTGAAGGAAGTAAGAATTTGTTTTTGTATTTAAGATTTCTAAGTGTGTGAGGTGTGTTTGGTGGAGATGGAAGAGAATTCCACAGCCTTTACCTAAATTGTACCAACTAGCAGCCATTTTAAAGCTGCCCTTGATTTTAGGATTGGTTGTACAGCTGGAACTTCCTGGCTTTGGTGTTAGCTGATCTGGCTCAGAAAGAAAAGAATTCCTGATTTTTCTCTGATCAAAATGTGACAAAACTCATTTATTTTTGAGCATGAGAAGAAGGAAGATATTAGAGGAACACAGAAGGGCATTTTCTATCACAAAAAAAAATGCTGACATATTGCTCACACAAATGGGCAAGTAGCAGCAATTAGCTATCTGAGGCTGAAAGCGCTGAGAGAGCACAATAGAAATAACAGAACTGAGATATTAGAATAGATTCTCAAGACAGTTATTCCATTTACACAGAATAAGAAATTCTACAATAAGAAAATCACAATTGATGTATTTTGTGGTCGTCTTTTCTGAGATGAGAGACACTTGTGATTCCAGACTGCATTGTATGTATCCAGCAGATGCATTCCTCTATTCCTCCATTTTGCCCAGCTGCCTTTTTGGTGAACCTTTTAGAGGGGATAAGATGGTTTTTTGAAGCTTTGACAGCTTCCACGATAATATGAACAAGATAATTCTTGCTGATGACAGGGAAGAACCTTCTAAATATCTGCATATCTGGGAGTTACTACACAAAATGTACCATTTATTGTAGTGGATATGTAGTTCTTCACACCATGCATATTTTATAGAGACAAGGCATTACTGCATCTAAATAACTCCATGCCGTCCACAAATTTGTTGTCTTTTGAAGTCTACTTCTTCTTTGGTTAACCAGAACCARTGGTATCAAAATCTAATTGCATTTTGTGTTGCAATTTATTTAGTCTTCTTTTTTTAAAATATTTAACTTTTGATAGTACTTCAATGGCAAAAGGCTCTGTGAATAGTTGCTATTTTTTGGACACTACTTGCAAAACTACTGTATTGAAAGGGACAAAACCAGTAAATATAGTATCTTCCTGAAGACTACCTAATCTGATGTTTCCATCAAGGGCAATGTAAGCGATGTGTTTCTCATAGCTTAAATTCACAAGGTAAAATGAAGCAACAAAACAAAATAGGAACCTGTTCTTCATGGGGACCATCTGGTGAATATGAAAGTGATTTGGGAAGATTGAGTGTTCTAATTAATATGGAGAGAGGTATTTAGCAAAAGGGATGGAAGAAAGGTAAAAGAGAGCAAACCGTAGATACTTTACCCCACTTCTTATCTCATTTTCCTTTAACTGAGGAATGGAGCCATGTGAATTAAGGAGGAGGAATTGGACTTGGAATCTCAGGAAAGGCTGTTCCATGGCAACTGTTTTGAAACAATGGGTTTCCAGGCAGTACTGGAGGAAGTAAAGAAGCAATAGTGATTGATGTGAACAAAAACTCCAATTTTTGTTTGGCCTATGTGTTCTTCCCATGAGGAACGGATTATATGTTGCAAGGCGGAGGTCTCGTAAACATTGGATCTCYTTTAATAAAAATGAAATCAAGTAAAGAAAACTAGGTTATACTGTTCCCTGAAGCAAGTCCTCCAGCTACTGTTTGCTAAGGAGGAGGTTTTTACAGATTGGATCATTTTATTAATATCAATCCGTGGTGGCCAAAAGGTTTTGGCATTTCATTTATGCTTATAAATCTCTGCAGAAAAGAAACASCATTTCCATTTACTCTTTCTACTTAACCTTGTATTCTTGCAAGACTTCTTTTTCACAAAATTAAAAAATTTTCAAAAATTAAAAAATGCTGCTTTGTGCCCTGCTCCAAGAAAGCTACTTAAGCAGAAGATCTGAAGATATTTTGGTTGACCAAAGTGGCACTCTGAGAGCTTCAAAATTAGCTAAATCACGAGAGAGCCTCTGTGGGGCTCTGCTCGGTGCAGCTGGTGGTGCACCCTGCCCTTGGAAAGCTCTGAGGATGCTGGTAGAGCTGAAGTTTGGCAGAGGAAGAGGGAGCCAGACTGTGGCACCTCCTTCCTGCCCACCTGCTCTTAACTCTGGAGAGTAGCAGGCTGCTCTTTCACACCCCAGAGCTACCTGCAGACCTTCTGCTCCACTTTAGAGCGTTCACTTAACACCAGAAGGAAGAAAGATTSCTATTGCTTAGGGGACATTTTCCTAGATTTGTTTTTTCCCTGTTCCCTTCAGCCAACAGAGCAGTCCTGGCAGAGACAGCAACTGCCACCAAAGGAACTGGGTAACTGGTGCTTGTCTGTTCACAGTGTTGCAAAGAAAATGCAGCAGCCCTCTAGGTGGTCTGGACTCCAGCAGTTTTGAGGATTACAGGTTAACACTGAGCCAAACTGCTCGTCCTTTAGCCATGTGGGATCGCGCATGCCTTGGCCCACAGGCAAAACTAATTCCATGTATTGAATTTCACTTCAGAAGCAGGACAGTTGCATTCCCTACAAGTGGAAACTCCGCGTTGCTCTGGCACAGCCTGTACAGAATGCATTGCAGGAATGCAGGCGGCCCACGGCATGGAGAATTGATGTGTACGTATGGGAGGGGTCATAACCTTCTCGCCATCCCCCAAATTTCAGTCCCAGATATCTTAAAAGTATTAGCATTCTCTTGTCCATTAGCCATAGCCTGAGCTAGGTACTCCRGTCTCTTTTCAGAGAGATTTGCATGCTTTTGCATCCACATTGCCTTAAGAGCCACCAGGAATATGCTAAGCACCTCTGAACAGTGTTTTTATCATGTACTGCATATTCATTTTAAGTTAGTCTCTTGCAATCAACCTCACATTTCTTTCTTTGAGGATGAAAAGAAAAATTGCAAATTGGTTAAGTCCGTGGGTGATTCAGCCCACGAAAGTGACTGTCCTTGCTCGTTAAATTGGAAGATTGCCAAACTGCCCTGGAGTTGGAATATTTTTTTTTTTGAGTTAATGCATTGTAGACCTAAATTTAATGTCAAGACCATTAAATAATTTGTGTAAATATGGCATCTGAGTGTAAACAGCTTATTCTTTAATTATTTGTAACAAAAGATTTTCCTATAAAGAAGAAGGGTTGTTGTAGCTGAATGGACGAATGAATGGCCGAACGGTGGTGGCAGTGTGTTTAAAGTGAGAGGAAAACAAGGCCTGTTTATCAGAGTGAACTTCACTTTGGGAATAAATGCCTGACAGGGTAGAGCCTGRAAGCAAGGACAAGCTGATAAGCCATGGTGACCTGCTGCATTAACWCTGACAGGCGCTGGCCTCACGCTCTTGCCTCCTTTTTCACATACCAGTTAGAAAGTAACCCAGTCAAGAAAGGATAAATAACAGCTGCACGATGGATAGTCCTAACGGCATTGGAAATCCGTGTGTGTAATGTCATGAATGATGTGCAGTTTGCTGCCAGTTACAATTATTCTCTGAAATGATTTTCCTTTGCAGTCTGTTACCTATATCATTAGAACGGAAAACTTCGGTAACCAATAGAGCAGATCATAGGATAATATTAACTAAATCTAAATGTTCAGCTCATAGATAGCTTAGGCATTTTTAGTGTCTTTGCTGGTCATGTTGTGAAATTATTTGCAGTGAGGAACTTCAGCGTGTGCAAGTTCATTTCAGGAAGGAGGAGAAAACTCTCAAATGTGTATATAAGTTATTTAAAATGTTACTCAGTGAAAGACTGGAAACTTAAAATGATACTTGGTGGCCAAGATTATGTATATCATATTAATCTAATTTATATAACCTGGATTAATGAAGTATAAACAGTTGAACAAATGATATAAATGTTGCCAGGTAAATGAGATTTTTGAAAAGAAAATGTTTAACAGTGCTTGTTACTTCCATTGGGAAATCTATATTGTGTTTAAAGAGGAATAATAAAAACAAACGCTGCTAACTCACTGTKCTCAACATTTCCCACTAAATGTTTATTTGGATTTTAAGTTGKGAATAGGATCTTGAGCAGGAATGCTAAATTGTTTTGGGATTAGAGTGTATTAACAGCCTGTTCTTAAACTCTGAAGACATGAAGCTGCACTATGGTGACCTCACGGACAGCACCTGCCTGGTGAAGATCATTAATGAAGTCAAACCCACCGAGATTTACAACCTGGGAGCTCAGAGCCACGTCAAGGTGAGTAGCTTCCAGCACTGGGAATTGTGAATGTGCAATGGTTGTGGTGTGCTTCTCCAGTTATTTTAGCCTGCAGCACTTTCAGCCATTTTAGCAACTGCTAGTTTTGACAGGTAAGCAGTATCCTAAAGAATCATGCTTGCTATGGTACTGAATTACTGCAATAAATTTTGATACTGAATACATAATGAGATGTTAGATTTGTAGAATTGTTTTAGATGAAGCTAAATTGACATTACCAACAAAATCCCCAGGTTTTGAAATTTAGCTTTTCCACCATTTGAAACAATTTTGCATGATGTGCTGCTGCTACTGGTGGAGTAATGTGATATTGTTGGACCAAACTGTTTCTAACCATGTTATTTCCCCATGCATTGCAATGGGGCAGATAGATGTATGCAAGAGTGTCATTTCCAGAAAGATTCACCTATACCATTTTTATACAGGTAGTATTCTTTGAAAGACTATCCTATAAATTGAGAAGACATCTTCACTATTATATGTAGTATTAGTCTTCCTTTCCTTCTTTCTTTCTTCCTTTCTTTCTTTTTTTTTTTTTTTTTTCTAATTGAAAAGTCAAGTCGTAGAAACTGAAACAAAAAGGACTTGCTGAAAATGACTAATTTGATTCTGGCAAACAGTGCTGTACTGTAAGGACGAAATATAAACAGTTGAGTGGGTAACTTGGATTCACGTTGCATATATGTTAAGCTGCAGTGCTCTCCAAACACAGAAAATCTCATTTTAATAGGTGAACTCTATTTATTTTGAAAAAAAAAAAAGACGATGGTCAAGCAGCATATTGTGGTTAAAGCAGATAATGGATCAACCATATGTCTCTGTGCAAAGTGAAAGTATTCCTAAATGATAACATTCCCTAACCTCTCTTGAGGTTAGAACTGAAGGAGCATTGAAGAGCTTAAGCCTTGTGAAAATCAGTTTGGCTTTGGTTTTGCAACTCAGCCTTCTTATGAAAGACCATGTGTTGCTGCTATCAAACTACAGGCCTGGTGTGGTATCTGTCAGACTTTAAAACGAGTCCAGTGCCTACCATTTTCAGACAACCCTCTATGTTAGAACAGGGGACTTGGCCACCTGCTGGAGTGAGAACTGACAGTTCTTGCTGCTAAACTTTGTTTATGCAGAATTTTTGTCTGGGCACACCGTGTTAAGGCCAGGAGGGAAGACAGCTTCTAATATTAGCTTGTTTCACATTCTGGTCACATCAAATTGGTGAGGTCTTCAGTAGTTTTGGGTGATGTTTATGTTGGCTTGTGTTTATGCAGAATAAAGTTTTCTATCACTCTCACTTCCAGTTAGTTTTGTGAAGCACGCTGAAAGTAAGGAAAATAAAATAATAGGAAGTTGGTCTGGTTTCCTGTAGGAAACTAATGAAGATGAAATTGGTTCTTGGAATGAACCCACAGTAGTCTGGGAAATACTGTCAGAGAAGACGTTTTTCTGAATCATAAATAGTGAGTATTATGACTCATAAAGTAGGTCACTGAGAGGCTGATCTGGTCTTTACATGGGAGAAAGTGAGAGAAGGACTGAAACTTGTTATTAAAAACAGTAAATTTAACAGAATGATGTCATCACTCGGAACAAATTATCCAGTGTGCATTCCTGTCTGTTTTGATGAGGAATGGGGATTAGCCATCATACTGTAACTTCCCTATTGGGAAAGTGTTCAGAAAACAGTAGCACATTCACTTCATAGCTATTAAATAAAYAGTTTAGCCTCATGTTTTCTATCCAGTCTTTGTATGTCCTACTGCTTTGGCTCTTGGTGCTCTGGGAATCCTCATGGCTAACCATAATTTGTTTTCTTTTAATTAGGGTTTGTGGGGGTAGTTGTTTACAGTATGTTGATTCTAAATACTAAAAAACTGTTGGGTAAAGGTGGCATGCAAATGGCTTAATCTACGTTCTGTTACATAAAACTCTACTCATATCCTTATTTCTGTTAAATGCCGTGGGAATTAATTCTCCAAATGCTGACTTGGCTCAAATGATATCCCTAGCCTTTCTATCGTAGTATTTCAGAGGTAGATATCATACAGATTCTTCTGTTTAGTTTTGGTTTCTTGTTAGTCATATGCAGGAATGAACTGTAAGAAACAAGCCTTACCACTGCTGCCTGAAACATGAAATGTGAAAATTGTGTAAGCTGTCACTTGCTTAAGGATGGATCTTTTGTGTAAGGAAGCTGTCCATTGGATTCAGCTTCTCCTCTGAGTCTCTTTTTCCCATTCTATAGTTTTGTCCTCTTTTAAGAGGAAGCCCTCAGTGTTGGAAGGCTTTTAGTGTCGTCTTTCTCCATAGACACAAGACATGCTGACAAAATGTAATAACTTTATCACTTCCGATTCTCTGGCATTTCTATCTGTCTCAAATACTAATTCTTAATTGTGAATTGTCAACTACTAATTGTAGCTTGCAACTCGTCTATTAGTGTAGCTATGTCTGCTTTCATCCTAGGTAGAAGATGAGGCAGTAGGAAAGATGGAGAAACAGGAAATAACAAGATCAACAAATAACTACAAGATCTGCAGAGCCCAAGGAGGAAAATTTGAAACTGGGTTAGAAAGCACTGCTCACTTGCATGGATGGACTGCTGCATGCTGAACTCATAGCTTGCCTGCTGTGTGGTAGGAAACTGGGACAGTTGCAGGGAGCGGAAACATGAAGCATGCAAGCAAAAGTTTGTATCACTTCGTTTTACAGGATTATAGAATCACAGAATGGTTGAGGTTAGAAGGGATCTCTGGACATCATCTATTCCAGCACCCCTAGTCAAAGCAGCATGAGCTACGGCAAGTGACTCAGGGCTATGACTGATCAAGTTCTGAGTGTCTCTGTGTACAGACTCCATARCCTCTGTGAGGAATTGTCCTAGTACTTGGCCACGTTCACTGTAAAAAGGCTTCTTATATCTAAATGGAACTTTGTGATTTCAGTTTGGACCCATCGTTTTGTGTACTTCCACTGGCCACAATTGAGAAGAGTCTGTCTATGTTCTTTTTACAGCCTCTTATACTTATAGATATATGTTATATATATACATAACTTCCTTTCTTTCCCCTTCCCTCCAACGAAGTCTTCTCCATGCTAAACAAACTCAGCGCTCTCATCTGTTGTGTGAGATGCTCCATTTTTGTGGCAGTTTGCTGCACTTGCTCCATTATGCCCATGCCTTCTGTGTTCAGTTCTGGGCTGCCGGTGCAACGTTGCAGAGGAGGTCTCACCAGTGCTGATTAGAGAGGATGATCCGAAGCTGAATTCAACGGACCTCCCTTCAAATGCTGGCAACACTCATCCTAATGCATCCCAGGATGCTCTTGTCCTCTTGCCACAAAAACACAYTGCTCAATCATGTTTAATTTGTTGACCCCCAAGACCACTAGATCTTTTTCTGCTAAGCATCATTCGAGCTGGTCTGCCAGCAGGATATATTGCTGTATGCAGTTATTCTTCCCCACATGCAAGACTTTGCACTCACCTTTCTTGAACTTCATGTTTGTTTGTTTATTTGTTTTTCTTTGTTTTTCTTTTTCCTCGGCTATTTCTCTGGCTTGTCAAAAGCCCCCTGAGTGACAGCACAATCCTCTGGTACATCAGTCAGTTTTGTATCATCATTAAACTTGCTGAGGCAGTTGAGCAATACTGGTCCCAATACCTGGAGTATTCCACTAGTGGTTGACTTCCAGCTGACCTTTTTGACACTGATCACAATGCCCTGAGAGCAGTAATTCAGTCACCTAACTGAGCCTACCCCATATGTTATTAGCATGTCTATGAGAATGTTAATGGGAGAAAGCATCAAAAGCCTTATTAAAGTCAAGATCAACAATATCCACTGTTCCCCTCTCATCCATCAAGCCAGTCATCTGATTGTAGAAAGGTACAGGTTTATGAGACATGACTTCCCCCCAGAATTCATGCAGAATAATTCTGTTCACCTTCTAATCCTTTATATGTTCAGAAATTATTTTCAGAATTAGTTGTTCCATGATTTTCCCAGGGTGAGGCAGACTGACCTGAAGTTCCCATTATCTACTTCTTGCCCTTCTTGACGATGAGTGACACTTGCTTTCTTCCAGTCCTCAGAAACCTCTCTTAACTATCACAACATTTTGAAGATAATCAAAAGTGACCTAGCAGCGATGTTGCCCAGCTCCCTCTACTCTCATGGACACATTGCAGAGTTGCCCATGGAGTTCTGTATTTCCAGCWGATTTAAATGTTCCTTAACGTGGTCCTCTTCCAAACAAGGGAAAGTCTGCCTTTTCCCGAGATTTTTCCACTTGTTTTGGGTATGTGAGGTTGCTGAAGGYCTGTATTACAAGTGAAGACTGAGGCGAGGAAGGCATCTTCTAAATACCTTGGCCTTTTCTGTGTGCTTTGTGTGCTTTGTCTCATCTCCATTCAGGAATGGGCATGCATTTAGCCCATCTTGCTATTTATGGACCCACAGAAACCTCTTGTTGCCCTCCACACTCCCTTGCCTTATTCAACTGAAGGTGGGCTTTGACTTTCTTAGATGCATCCCTGCATGCTCATACTGTGCCTCTTATGGGTCACCTATTCCTGCTTCTGCCTCTTGCACACTTTCTTTTCATGCTTAAGTTTAATGAGGTGTTCCTTGTTCACCCATGCAGGTCTCTTGATGCCTTTGCTTGATTTCCTGCTTGTTGAGTTGGACCGTTCTTGATGTTAGAAGTGATATCTGAAAATGAATCAACTCTCCTGGGCACCTCTTCTGTCCAGAGCATTATTCCATGGGATTCTTCCCACCAGATCCCTGTAGGGGCCCAAATTTGTCCCCCYAAAGTATATAGTAGGATCCTGTTATTGGCCTTGTTTCTTCCTCTCAGAATCATGAACTCCACCATGTCATGGTAATAGTAACCTTGGTTGCCCTGACTTTCACATTCCCAATCAGTTTCTAATGTTTTTAAATAGCAGGTTGAGCCTAGCATTTCCTCTTGTCAGATCCT